CACCCCATGTGAAGTTGTTCTATGCCTCCTGGCACAAACAGTCTTCCATCTTGGCCTGGAAGTTGAAATTGGAGGGTTTGGGCTGCAAGCAGCCCAGGAAGGTGTTGACCAAATAGTACTAGTGGATGGCATCCTGCACCCAGGAGAAAGGTGTCAGAAGACCAAAGAGCAAACATTGTCCCAACTAAAACCCAATAATGGAGTGGTGGAAGTAGTAAGGACAGGAAGGGAGAATGGAGTGTTCCAATAGTGATCATGCCCAATTCCTGTCAAAATTCTAGGACACAACATTAAGGCAACGATGTGTGATTGCTTGGAAAAAGACATCAGTGATGGTTAAGAGCCAACTTGGCTTTGTCAAGAATAGATCATGCGAGACTAACCTTACTTTTTCTGGGGTTACTAGATGAGCAGATCAGGAGAATGCTGGAGATTAAATCTTCCATTTTTGTGGACAAGATGACAAGATCTGGGGTAGACTATAGTATAGTTAACTGGATTTTTAATTGAAAAGAAGAAAGGTACATCTTTTCTTCTCTTTGGGGCTAAAATGGATAATTATAATTATACGTTGTTCAGTTTATTTTTGATTTTACTTGTTCTTTTGAATCACATTGTTGAAATCATTGTATTATCATCTTTCTACTTCTCTTTGCTTTAGCTCATACATCTTCCCATGGGTCTCTGTTTTCTTTATTGTCATCATTGATGAGGTGCTTGTGCTTGGACCCCAGCCCTAGGACTATATCTCTCCCCAGCCCAAAGACCCTATCTCTAGCAATATCTCATGAGTGGGCCCCAGTGAGGCAAACTGTCTCTCCCTATTACAAGAACAATCTGACCTCTGTAGAATTTCCCTTATATGAACAGGACTATCTTATACCAGCAGGACTGTCATGTACTGATTCCCTCAATTACTGTATATAATCTGAAGGTCAAGCAATAGACGTCAACTCTTGAGGATATCTTGTACAAACAGGACAGCCATACCAGTAGTGAATGACGCCTGTGCCCAAGGTACAGAAACTGTGTGTTCACCACATAATTAGCATAGTTGGCAGACAGTGCACCGAACTTTTCCTCTATAGGCTTTAGCATCACCCCCATTAGGTTGCAAGTTCCCCAAGGAGCTCTGCCCGCCTTTATTAGCATTATACTAAACTTTTTGCCACTTGATTGGAAGACTGCTTGAGTCTGAGAATTCTTTCCAGGCAACTCTACCCTGAACCTCAGTATTTTGGAGTCCCTGCATCCCTAAACCACATCAATCAGTTCTTATGAATACTCTATTCAGTCATGTAACACATTTTGTTTCGTCATCTAATTTTGATTCTTTGCTGCTACCAAAAAAAAATAATTCTGCTACAAATATTTAGGTACACAGGAGACCTTTCTGCAGTAGATGACTAGCAGTGGAATCTCTGGGTCAATGAGTAGGGACATTTTAGTAGCTTTAGTGATATGAAATTTAATAAGAATAAATGTATATTCTTATATTGGCATTAAATAAATCAGCTTCTCAAGTTATGAGATCAGAAGAGGCATCTGAAAAAAGATCTGGGGGTTTCAATGTGAATTGCAAGCTCATGAGTCATATGTGATATGGCAACCAAGAAATCTAATATGGCCTGAGGCTTCTGAGTCGAGAGGTAGCAGAGTCCAGGACTAGTAGATAGAAGTGCCCCATCTGTGGAGTCAGAAAACCTGCATTTGAATGACAGTTCTGCAAGCTGTGGGACTCTGGACAAGTCATTTTATTTCCCTGGAAGTCAGTTTCCATAAAACTATGGTATTGGACTAGATAATCTCTAAATTCTAGGATCCTATAGTCCTCTTGTCCTTTGCCCTGATAAGACCATAAAGAATCAGAGATGTAAAGCTGAAAGGGACCTTAGAGGTCACCAAGCCTAAGCTTTTCATTTTTACAATTGAAGAAACTGAAGAGAGAGTAGTTATGATTTACCCAGGGTCACGGTGTCAGAACCCTGGTATAGCTTTTTTTCCATTTTGTCCTCTGCATTTTAAAGAGAACTCTGAGAAACTGGAAAGTGTTTTTACCAGAGTGACCAGGATAGCAAGAAGCCTGGAAGGATATGCTCCATACATTTCATGTAATCATAGCCATGAAGATGTTGTCTTCTTTCTCTGTCTCTCTCTGTCTCTGTCTCTCTGTCTCCATCTCTGTCTCCATTTTTCTCTTCTCTTCTCTCTCTGTCTCTGTCTCTCTGTCTCTCTGTCTCTCTGTCTCTCTGTCTCTCTGTCTCTCTTTCTCTCTCTCTCTCTTTCTCTCTCTCCTGTTTGGTAGGATAGACCTGCTAGAAGACCTGCTGATGTAGGGCAGTTCTAATGTGAGAGAGAAGCGGGATAAAAAGTGGGATTAAAAAAAAATCTCTGTCGGGGGAAGTCCCTCTGAACCTCAGTTTCTTCTTCTGTAAAATCTTTTTATTCCCTCTCTCACAGGGCCGTTGTGAAGGTCGAATGAGTTACTATGTCTTAAACATACTATAACAATGTTGACTGTGAGGGCAGGGTTACAAGCTGTCTTGGAAGGCTTAGCTCTCCATCTTGTCTCTCACTGATTCTACCTTTTCAGTCTGCTTACACCCTACCCCAATCCCAGAGCTAGGAACCAGTGACACAGGCCATCTTCCCATCTCCCTAGCTCTGAGCACTTTCACTGGCTTTCCCCTATACCTGGAATACTTTCCCTCCTCATTTCTGCCTCCTTGCTTCTCTGGGCTCCCTTCAAGTTTCAGCTAACTATCCATTCACCTTAAGGATATTGCCTTTCATTTGTTATCTTGAATTTATCCCATATTTTGTATAGAGTTGTTTGCTTGTGTTCTTCCCATTAGACTGTGAGCAGGGACTGTTTATGCCTTTGTTTGCCCCATTAGAGGAGAGAGGAGGCTGTTTTTTGCCTTTATATTCCCAGCACTTAGTGGTGCCTGGCACATGTTCGCTGTTTAATAAATACTAATTGACTGAGACTCAGCTTTGTTTACACCCAGCTCTGGTATAATCCTAACAATCAAATTTGGCCATGGAGAGGAGATGGGGAAATGTACCTCTACCCTTTCGCTATAAAGGCAGATGACTATGGGGGTGGAGTGATACATATGTTATCAGATTAAGTCGGTGATATTTTTGCTGAACTTTTTTTCTTTCCTTGATCTTTGTTACAAGGGAAGCCTTATTTATAGTTGGAAATGAATATGATATAAAAACAAAAGTTATTAAATCTAAAAGTAAAAAATATAATTACAATTTTATGTCTATTTTTTAGATTGGGGGAAGTAGAAATCACAAGTGAGTTCATGGCCTCATGACCCCAAATTCATGTTAGAGGCCAAAGCCAGAGCATGGCCAAAGGGCGAAGAATTTAAGGCCTCTGATGATGCTTCTAAGCAGAAAAAGAATGGATTTGAAGTCATTGGATTTTGAATCGGAAAAGGTCATAGCATTCCTCCAATCTAACTCTTTATTTTTACAGATGGGAAAACTGAGGCTCAGAAGAGTGAAATGACTTGCCCAAGTTTATCAAAATAGTAAGTAGCACAGTTGGAATTAGAACCCAGGCCTTTTGTTTCTCCATCCAGTTTCTGTTGCATTAGTCCTGTCTGCTTTTCTGAGGTCCTGGCTTCAAATCCCTGATCTGATTCTTGCTAGCTAGTATTACTATTACTTAATTATTAATTACTTAATTACTACTATTACAAAATGTGACTAGCTATTACTTATTAGCCATTCACTTCCCTCTCTGGGCCTTGTTTTCCTCACTTATAAGAGGGATGGGGGTGGGAAGGTTGGATCAGGTGACTCCTAAAGCCTTTTCCAGCTCTAAATCCAATTTTCCTAAATAAAAGTTGTATTATGATTTTTAGGATCATGTACCTACACTTGAAAGGGTCACTGGGGCCCAACTAGTGAACCCTTTCATTTTACAGACTGAGCCCAAACAAATGAAATGTTTTGCATGGGGTTATACACCTTAAGGTTTATGAAGTTTATTTGGCCACATTGGCCCCAGGGCAAATATGACCACCCCTGCTTTGCAAATTAGGAAACAGGCTCAAAGGAGGGAAATAATTTTCTCAGGGTCACCCAGATTGTAAGTGACTGAGTCAAGAGTCCAACCCAGATGTCCTGACCTTAAGACTAGTGTCCTTCATCAAGAGTGGGACCTATGAGTTTTTCTTGTATTTTGGGGAGCAGGATGTAGGGATGGTGAACTAGCAGTGACGGGAAAGACGTGCTAGACATAGGGGGCAGTGGCACAATGGATAAAACACTGGGCTTGGAGTCAGGAAGACTCATCTGAGCGAGTTCAAATCTGGCCTCAGACACTTACTGGCTGTGTGACCCTGGGCAAGTCACTTAACCCTGTTTGCCTCAGTTTCCTCATCTGTGAAATAAATAGGCAGGAGAAGGAAATGGCTGGCTGATAGAGTGTCATAGGATTTAGAACTAGGAGAGACTTTAGAGATCTTCAAGACTCCTCATTTTACAGAGGGGGAAACTGAGGTCCATGGAGCAGCAGTGAAAACCGTCATGGATTAAAAATCAGAAGACCTGGGTTTCAGTTCCAGCTCTCCCATTTACTACCTGTGCAGCCTTGGGCTGCACCTCTCTGGGCCTCAGTCTCCTCATCTGTAATATGAGGGGGTTCACTTAGATGTGCTCTGAGGTCCCTCCCAGTTCTGTGATCCTGGCCCTAGTCTGCCCAGGGAGGTGGGCAGCAGAGTTCCAGTCATTTGACTCCAAAGGAATCTAAGGCCCACCCTCTGGGTACCAGGACAGTCTAGTACAGGGAGATAATTGCTGCTACCAGCTCGGGATCATTTAGAACTGGAAGGGACAGGTATTTACTGTGGAGTCTGAAGCCTCCTTGACAGCACCCTCCCCCTTTATAGGGGTCTAGTATCTCCCAGGGACCTCTAAACTTTTTCTTAACAGAAAGACCAGGTAGGAGGGAAAATGGGAAGAAAGAGAGCCCATGGTCATGTTATCATGATAAGATTTATACAAGGAAATCAGTGTGTCCTACTGTAGAGCTTGATGCTCTACAAGGAGAGGACCATCCCTTACATATTCTTAACACTCCATCCATCTATCCATCCACTATCCCAGATTGCCCTGGAGAAGGAACCTATGCCCTGCTCAGGAAGAGCCCGAGTCCTTGCTCCCACTGCCACCTTCACTCTTGCTCTGGCTTTCACTCTCCTTGGGTGTAGAACCCCCGAGGGGCTCACAGTTCCACTGTTGCCACGGGTAGGGTGCACGAATGTGTTTCAAACTATCGCTCATCTGCTGCATGTATTGGTTGTCCTTAGCAACGTGGGAGTATACAGGATAGCCCATTTTGTCCGCAATCTGGACATGGTGGTAGATGACACTGGATATCAGGCCCTGCCCTCGATACTTGGGCAGGGTTCCTGCCATCCTCATTTCTCCTGTCTGGTCTGTTAGGTTCCAGGACACTGGCGTTCCCTCCGGCCCCAGCAGACAGTAACTGGGGAAGTGCTGGATACAACGCTGGATGAATTTCAGGCTCCTCTCATTTCCCCCAAAGCTCCAGAGGTCGTTTACTAACGACGCATGCTCAGCTTCCAGTGATGACATCTTAAATATCTCTGTGTTGCTGTTGAGGAAAAAGAGAAAACTAAACATCACCGACAAGTCAGGCACATTAGGTCAATTGCAGATCATGTGGCCCACACCATAGCCACAGTACAAACCTAAGTGCGAACCTCAGTTCAGGCACTTGCTAGTTATGAGACCTTGGGCAAATCACTTGACCTCTCTGGGTATTGCTTTCCTCATCTGTTCCCTTGTGTGGGACAACTCTAATAATTGTGAAGTTTTTCTTTATATTGAACCAAAATTCCTGCGACTTCTACCCATTGGACTAAGGTCCCTTCTAACTCTACATCTGGGAGCCTGGAGAAGAGGTTGTCCCGTGGTCCTGAACAGCTCTCCCCCTCTCCCTCACCATCACCCTTTGTTTAAAATCTCCTAGCTTCGTTCAAGGTGCAGATCAAATGTGCCTCACTGCCTGGAGAAAGTGGCAAGCCTGTGAGGTGGCCCCAAAGGTTCTGCTCATCTCATCTTTCCCCTGGCTTGATTCTCTGTCTTCTGTGTAATCCAGTCTTAGCAGAGCACATGGCCTCATTGGGTTCTGTTTGTTACCTTTGCCTTTCCTTCCTTCTCTGTTTCTGTCACATTCTTCTGGCCTCTTTGAAACAGTTTGGATTTCTTTTGTGTCTCTCACATCTGTTTTTTTTTTCCCTCATTTTTTTTTCTCTTCAAGCAATTCCGTTCTTTCTAGGAACCCTTCATTCTCCCTGACAAATCATCAGTCATGCCTCATTACCTTTTCTTCCAGGCAGAAGAAAAATGTGTCTTTCATAGACATTTAGTTGTTACTTGGCACTGGCAGAAACAAACAGAGTGAATCCTCAGGTCAGATCCTGAGTTCCCCCAACTAGAGACCTTGGGTTAAATCCCACCTGATTCTGCTTTTATGTTCTTGGATTGGTCGACTTCCCTGGGCCTCAGTTTCCTTATCTGTAAAATGACAGAGGTGGACCCCTGTTTCAGCTCTCGGTTGGAGTCAATAGCCCCTGAGGTCCCTTCCAATTCTGAAATTCTGTGATTTCTAGGGTTAACTGCAGCTGCAAAGTTTACTCTACCCCGGAGATCGATGGCTGAGGCTCCTGACTACATTGGGCTTTCCTGTCTTCCCCCCTGCACCCACCTTTTCAGATGACTTCAGTAATCATCTTTCTTTCTTTCTATTATTTTTTTGGCTAGGCAATGGGGTTAAGTGACTTGCCCTGGGTCACACAGCTGGTAAGTTTTATGTGTCTGAGTCCGGATTTGAACTCAGGTCCTCCTGAATCCAGGGCTGGTATTCTATCCACTGCGCCACCTAGTTGCCCCAACATTAGTCTTTAGAGGTAAATATGCAGCGGCAGTATAGCTCCAATAGGCAATGTGAATATCCAAGCAAAAAGTGAAAAAGAGAAGATAGATGAACAAATTCCAAGATTTGTCCCCATAGAGTCTGGAAATTATTGTATTTATAAGATGGTCATATAATCTCTACAAGGTCAACAGGAGATGTCAGGGATAAGAAAATCCCAGAACAGGGGGAAACAATGTATAGCACTTGTGGGAACACAAGAGTAGGAAATGCCAGAATGCCCACTGCTTTGTTCGTTACCATGCTAGAAGTCCTCACTTTAATCAAATGGGGACAGGAGAGGATTGTTCTACCTTTGAAATGGAAATCAGTGGGAAAACAGAATTTGACATAGAGAAATTCATTTCCTAGCCAACTAGGCCACAACACATCTTCTACAGAGTAAGGAATACCTGTGCATGACTCAGCTTTTAGACAACTTACATTTGTTTATTTGGTTTTTCAGTTTTGGTATACGATTTATCCAAATTGTGCTGAGAAGGTGCATGTCTCTTCATTGTTTCAGAAACCAAATAGAGATACCGGTTTGTCGCCCTGACCTGGACTGATTTTTCCTCTGTGACATTATTGATCACCTCGTTTAAGCCAGACTGTAGACCTATAGGAGAAAAAAAGAAAAGGAAAACTTGCACAAGTGATTATTCAGACACAGAGGAGAAACGTTACCAGCAGAATTAATGCCTGAGGGAAAGACCAATGCATGGTCTCACAGAGGGATCCTGGACATTTCAGAAAATGGAACTGGCTCCTCACCTTGGAGGTGAAGACATTCGACTAGGAAGAATCACAGGATCTCAAAATCAGGTGAGACTTCAGAGACCATCTCTTCACCCTCATATATACCTGACTGAATCCTCTCTACAGCATCCCCAGCAATGACCATTCAGCCTTTGCTTCAAGACCTCCAGTGATGGGAAGCTGGTTACCTCTCACAACAGCCCATTCCACTTTCAGACAGCTCTAATTCTTAGGAAAGTTTCCCAGAGATTAGGCCTAAATTTGCCTCTTTGCAGTGATTGCTCATTGTTGATAATTCTGTCCCCAGGGCCAAGAAGAATAGGGTGCCTATTCCACATGCCAAGCCTCCAAACGCTTGAAAATAGCTTTCATATTCCACCACCACTTCCAATCCCACCCCAAACTTTTTATTCTTCAACCTACATATCCTCAGGTCTCTCAACCAGTCTTTGTGATGGAATGATCACAAGGCCCATAGCCAACCTGCCCTCTTTTCTCTACATGTTGCCAATCACCTTCCAAGAATGTGGAGGGGCAGCTAGATGGTGGGGTGGATAGAGCATTGGCCCTGAAATCAGGAGGACCTGAGTTCAAATCCGGCCTCAGACCAAACACTTGACACTTACTAGCTGTGTGACCCTGGGCAAGTCACTTAACCCCAATTGCCTAAAAATAAAAAAGAAATAGAATCAAGAATGTGTAGAACAGAACTGGACATACTACTTTAAGTGTGGTGTGACCAGGCCAGAGTACATGGGTGCTATCACTTCCATAATCTTGGACGTCATGTCTCCTTTGATGGAGTCTAAGATGACCTTGGCTCTTGTGGCTGTCATGTTGGCCTGCAGACTCATATTGAGCTTGCTGCCCCTAGAAACTAGAAAATCTGATAGAGCCAAAAGTCAGCCTTATTAAATGATGACTGGAGAAGAGTTTATTGACTGGCTAATGCAAATCCATGACATTCTTACCTTGAATCTGCAGGTGTTGCTTCCAGTTGATGACATCTGAAGACTTGAGGACTTCCTGACAATTCTGGAGATCCTTGGAAAAAACTTGGTAGGTGTTGGTATAGGGATCTAAGTCATCGGTCATCTCCTGAGCCGGTTGGAAAAAAAAAGGAAAGAAAGCCAGTGATCAGAATGTAGGAAGAAACTGGAGCACTGGGGAAAGTTGTTGACCAGGTAATAATACAAGCATTCTAGCTCGGCCACTGGTGAAGTGAAAGGGAGTGAGCTCAGCCCCTATGAGATAAAACAAGCGGTTTACCTGCTCTGGAGGCCGGATGATGACAGTTCTAAAATCTGGCCACCTGTCTACCAATGCTTCCAGCTTGAATGGGTTTCCATGGTTCATATGGAAAACGGTGCCATAAACCTGTAGAAGTAGTCCAAGAAAGCCAGAGAGTCAGTCCATTGGGCAGGGGCAACCGAATCAGTCTATTAACGTTTATTATGTGCTTACTATGTACCAGTCACTGTGCTAAATGCTACAGATACAAAAAAAAAAAAAAGGTAAAAGACAGACGCTGCTCATGAGGAATTCACAATCTAATGGGGCAGACGACATGCAGCTAGCAAACAAGCAAAATGCAGTATGAATAAATGGGAGATGGTCAATTAAGGGAAGGCACTGGAATTAAGAAGAATCAGGGGCAACCTGTAAAAAAGTCTGAAGTCTGGTGATGGAGTATCTTGTTTGAGGAACAAGGAGATCTCGGAGTACATGGTGAATGGAAACAAGAAGAAATGAGATTGATGGGGTGTAGGGTATGAGAAGACTGAAGAAGGGCATCAGATTATGAAGGGCTTTCTATACAGGAGACTGGAGGTGATAAGGAGCCATTGGAGTTGACTGAGTGGAGGTGACACGATCAGACTTACACTTCAGGAAGACCCCTTTGGTAGCTGAGTGGAAGACAGGTTGGAGTGAGGCAATGTGGGGCAAGCATACCAAACAGCAGGCTACTGCAGTCGTCCAGGGGGAGAATGAGAGAAAACACAGCCAGTGTTGGAAAGGTGGTCAGGGAGGCTTTGCCATCGGGAGGGAGAAGTTAATCGATTTATTCAGAGTCACAAAGATACTAAGTAGCTGAGCCCAAACTTGAACTTAGGTCTTCTGGCTGAGTCTCATGCTCATTTCCAGTGCACAGCCCATTCTGGATTGCATTTGTAGATGTGACCTGCGTTCTGGAGAGTGGGCAGTGTTCTACTGAGAAGCATTCATGCAGGACACTGAATTGGATAAGAGACCTCAAAGTAAGGTACAGCAAGCAGATCCCCATGTTACAAGGAGGAGGCTCCGAGCTCAGAGCCACGAAAGGACTTGTCAGGGGTCTCAGAACTTTGAAGTGGGAGAGGCCCCTCCTGAATGGTAGTCCCAAACTTGCCACAGGTCCTTGCTGAATGCCACCTCCAGAGCCACTTGAGGGGAGCAGTGGGGAAAGGTAAGAATTGAATTCCTGAATCCACTTCAGTTCAGTACACATTTATTAAGCACCTACTATGTGCTAAGCACTGGGGATACAAAGTCAAAAGTGAAAGTCTCTACTCTTATGGAACTTAGATTGTCTTGAAGGGATAGTAAAAATACTTGGCTTTTATATAAATTTACATAATATCATAGATAGAAGAGACTTCAGCGGTCATCTTGTCCAGAGGTATCAAACACCCAGGCTGGTGGCTGTCCAAACCAGATTAAAATGTAATTGGAAAATATTTAACAAGATAAAAATACAAGAAGCATCATGTTCATTTGGTTTTCTAAGCCCATATGGCCCTACAGAGACTGGATCCTTATGTATGGTTTGGTGATTCCCACATCCGCTTGAGTAAGACACCACTGATCTAGTCCAATCTGTACTTGAATCAATCAACCACCAAGTATTTATTAAGCACCAACTATGTGGCAGGCATTGTTCTCATTGTGGAGGAGGAGAGAATACAAGATCAGAATGGTCAAAACCAAAACCAAAACTTATTATACACATAATAAGAAACCAAGCTGCCTGTAATAGAGACCTGCAGTGTCACGGTCAATCCGCATGTTCTTTTCTATTATGAACATGAAAATGCCCATTTGTTTGCTGTTGGTTAAAGTCAGGAGTTTTCAAAAATAAAAAGAAGATAAAAGGGAGGGGTTGGAGCGGAGGGTTGGTGAATTCCTTTTCAGTTATAACACCTGTTATGTATGGTTGTCTGATGATGTGCAAAAGAGAGTGGTAGTGGTCATGTGTCTGTGAAGTGGGGTACAGGAAATGAAGAGAAGACAAGGGAAGGGAAGGAAGGAAAGGGAATAAACATTTATTAAACACTTGCTACATGCCAGGCACTGTACCAAGTACTCTTATTAATATTATCTCATTTGATCCTCACGACAAACTCTGTAAGAGAAGTGTTATTCTGTCAGTATCCCCACTTGACAGTTGAGGAAACAGAGGCAAATGGAGGTTAAATGACTCGCCCAGGGTGACACAGTTAGTAAGTGTGTAGGGTTCCTGACTGGAAGCCCAGTGCTCAGTGCACTGCAGTGCCACCTAGCTGTGAGAAATTCCAAAGTGAGCACTTGATTACAACTTCATTTGTCCAGGGAGGAGAGCTCTGGAAGCATTGCCCAGGAATCTTAAATCTTCTCTTGGAGGAGAAAGGGCATAATTTCCAGGGAGAGGGGACTATTCCAGAGCCTGAGTCAGGCCCGAATGGAGTCCGGGTTGGCAGGGATCCAGGATAGAACGAACAGAGAAGACCAGCAAAGGAACACTTTGAAATAGGATGTTTCAGATGTTAGAAAAGTCAGTGACTGATAGGGATTTATTCTGCAGTAAGCTGCAAGTCAAGTTGTATATAATTGGGGATTCAAAGTCTCCACTGGCCAGTCACACACAGGAGGGAAGGATTTTCTAAACATGTCCAGGGCAACCTTATATTATGGACTGTCAGGCTTGGGAGTAAGGAAGACCAGGGTTCAAACTCCATCTCCAGCACAACATGCATGTCCCTTAACCTCTCATAGTGCAAATAAGTATAATATTAACCTCTCTGAGTCTCAAGCAACCTGCTAGGACCAGGAGATAGAGAGGTTTCAATTTTCCCTATAAGGAGTTCTCACACTTGGAGTTGCCCCAGTTTGTTTTACGTATCATCACAGGATCCTAGACCATAGAACTGGGAGGGAGACCTACAGATCATCATAACCCAACCTCCTCATTTGACAGATGAGGAAACTGAGGCCTGGAAAGGTAGTAACTTTCCCAAGAATGCATAGTTAGGAAATCATGGCCTTTCGCTGTGTTTTCCCAGGGTGTACAAATCCCTTCCTGGGTTCTTGCTTCTAAAAATGAGCTGAGCTGACAGCCTAGTATACTAGAAATCATACTTAACTTGTGAGTTCAAACTCTGGCTCAGGGGAAACATCTACACATAACAGTTATTCAAGTTTAAAATGCATGAATATTTTTAAGGGTTAATAGCTAGCACTAAGACTTTTGGAACACCCTATGATCCACGATATATACAATGAATACATTGTGGTTTTGGGAGGGAAGCCATGAGCAGCTGGGAGCTGGGGTTAGGAAAGGTCTCATGTAGGAATTGTTAATTGGTTGTCTATGGATATGTGTGTGTGTGTGTGTGTGTGTGTGTGTGTGTGTGTGTGTGTGTGT